TCACCACATCCTGCCTGATTTTATGCTGTGGAAAGCTCAGCTCTGCCTGTTTCTCCAGCAGTATCTTGCCCCACTTGATGCTGTAGTGGAAGTAGCCCACCACCTTCCTGCATTTTGAAATTAGCTGTCTTGTAGCAGTACTGGTGATGGTGCCGTCACCAGCAGCCCTGTCCCCATCCAAGGCATCCTTGACTATGAGGTGCAGCCTGTGTGCCACACAGTGGATGCCAACGAAGTTGGCATCATGGACAGCCTTGACCATGTTGGCCCCATTGTCAGTGACCATGAACCCATGGGTGAGCTCGGCTTGCCCAATGAGCCACCCCTGCACCATGGCCACCATGATCTCCCTTGCTGTGTGGGACTCATCCAGCACCTTGGCTTGGAGGAGAGGCCACCAATGGCCTGACTGATTGCACCAGTACCCTGTGAGGGAGAGGTAGGCATGATCACCACCCTGGCTGCTCCAGATGTCTGAGGTGAAGTGCAAGGCTACCTGTGGCCCTGCCTTGCACAGCTCCTCCCTCAAGTACTCCCTGCATGCCTCATACAGGGAGGGCACCACCGTCCTGCTAAAGGTGGTGCATGTGGGCACTTGGTAAGATGGGGCCACAAGAACCATGAGCCACCTGAACCTTGGCCACTCAAATAGGGAGAAGGACTGGCTACCCAGAGCAAGCATTTCCCCAATGCTCTGGGTGATCTTGCTTGCTTTTGCAACTCACCCCCCTTTCTGTCCACTTTTCCCCCACTGTTCCATGGGAGGCCTACCTCTGCTTTGGGGGGACAAGGGCTTTGGAGTGAGTGGGGGACTTTCCTTTGGGCATGCTAGCACTGATGCCAGGCTGAGCAGCAAGAAGGGCAAGGGGGTGCTGCCTCCTGAGATGCAGAGCATCGCTGTGCTGGTGAAGTGCCCTGGCTGATCTGCCTTCAGCAGTGTTGGCAGAAAGCAAACCTGGGATTACCTGTCAGCTCAAAATGCTTCCACACTAAACTACTAACCCGCTTCTGGGCTGAAGGTGGGGATGCTGCCTTATCCACCTCCTCAGCAGGCTGAGGCACAACAGCACGAGGAGCTGCCTCAGATGAGCTACTTGCCTGAGCCTCCACACTTCAACCTCCTCCGAGGTGCTGCTTTCCAGAGAAGGAGACCTGGGTCTAGGGGAACTTTGAGGGGTGTGGAGCACAAACTCTGATTTCCCCCTCAATCTCCAGAATTGCTTGAGCCAGTGCACTCAGCTCCCCTGGTTCCAACCCCAGCTCCTCCTCTGGTAATGGGAGGCTCATGCTGGGAGATTGAATTGGTGTGGAAGAGACAGTGATTCTGCTGCTGGTACCTATTTTTGAAGTTAGGGGAGGTAGTGCTGGTGCAGGGATGTCAGATACAGGTACTGCTCCCACCTCCTTGCTTCCACTGGTAGCAGAAGCCTCATGGCTGCTTGGGAAGAGAATGCATCTCTGTTTGCGGGGTAGGCGAAATTGCAGCTCTAGCTCTTCCTCTACCCCCTCTCCCTCCCCTGCCAGAAGACCTGGAACCTGCCTTTCCAACATGCTTCATATTAATCTTTCCTGTGCTGCAAAAGTTGAGTGTGTGTGTATGTGTGTGTGCGCACACGCGCGTCACTCCTTTTGTGTTGTGTGTTTTATTCTGCTGTGTTGCATGTGTGCACTGGACTCTGCATTGATTATTAATAACTATATATGGTATCTTCTGTGATGTGCTATTAATGTGAATGTGTGACTACTACTGTACTTCTGGTTCTTCTTCTGTATTGTAATGTGTACTTAAAATTATATATCTCCTTCTAAGACCCTGAGTTCTGTGTTAGTCTCAATCTGAATCTCTATCTGACTTCTGTGTTGTCTTCAGTCTGTATGTAAACTAACTATAATAATATTAACAACTAATAACTATATATAATCTCATTCCGAATCTCTTCTTCTACGAATATCTGACTTCTTCTATGTGTGTGTGAGTGTGTTTGTGGAATATGTGCTTCCCTGCACAGTGATGGATCACACTGCCAGGGAAAACACTGAGCTTTCTTTTTTAACAATATTGCAAAAAAAAAAAAAAGGAAAAAGGAAAAAAAGAAAACAAATATGAATTGAAAGAAATGAAATGGATAAGTATTAAGTAGAGAGATTCTAAGCTAAGCTAAATTAAGCTAATCTATATCCTATCCAATCCTTTCTAACAGCAAAAAGTAGCAGGCCACTGAGTAGGAAGCAAGCCAGTACCTTTGAGACGCTGTTGCTCAGGGAGAAACAGCTCAGGAAAGGGATAGAAAAGGCTGCAGAGTCTTTTAAGCTGTTTCTATGTCCCTCCCCCCAGACACTGTGATTGGAAGGGCAGTCAGAGACAAGTCAGAGTCACTGGCCAGCTAGAGATGTCAGTCCTTCCCCACCTGCTTCCCCCTCCCTCTTCTAAGTTTCTGTTTCCCCATAAAGACTGCTCTCTGAATCTCCAAATCACTGAATCTTTTCTGAATATTTTCTGAATTAATTTGGAGGCTCTGAATCGATTCAGAAAGTTTTAAGCTTCTAGCGATTTGATTCTGATTTGGAGATTTGGCCCACCAGCTCCCTGAATGAGTCCAAGTCTGCTTTTCTGAAGTCCGGGTTCCTTATTCTGTTGCTTTTCTTCCTTCTTTTCCTCAGGATCTTGAACTCAATCATCTCATGGTCACTGCTGCACAAGTTACCATCCACTATTACATTCCCCACTAATTCTTCCCTGTTTGTGAGCAGGTGAAGAATAAAACTGCCCCCAGTTGGCCTCTCCAACACTTGCACCAGGAAGTTGTCTCCAACAGTCCCCAAAAACTTCCTGGATTGCCTGTGCACTGCTGTATTTTCCAGCAGATATCAGGGTGATTGAAGTCCCTCATGCAAACCAGGGCCTGTGATGGGGAAACTTGCATGAGCTGTTTGAAGAAAGATTTATCTACCTCATCCTCCTGGTCTTGTGGTTTATAACACAAACCCACCATGACATCACCCTTGTTGCTCTCCCTCCAACCATAAACCTTTATGGGCCTTTCTTCAGTTAATAATAAGGCACATCAAACGCAGAGATAATCTTAAGTAAACTAATATACTCATAGAAAATATAGTTCACAAATTAGTTTATTGTCACCTTTCAATAAATGGGAGTATCAGTTTCTTTTAACAATTCATTATGGACAGCAGATGGTCTCAATTGGTCTTGAAATGTTGGTGACAATGAGGGCAGAGTACAAAAAAGAAAATTGTCATTGTTCATAAAACACATGGAAAAACAATTGGATGTAAACCTAAAATACTTATGAACATATACAAGCAGGGAGATAAGTCTGTATTAGACTTGCTAAGATATGTGTTGAGTCACTAATATAACACAATGTCCAAAGTACAGTATATATATGTACTAAGTGACAAAAAGTAACCCCAAGGAGGTTAGTATTTACAAATTACTAAAAAAATTATCTATAGTATTAGTCCTTTACTTGCTACTGGAATACATTTCTATGGTCCTCCTTTCTTGCAACATCATTTGGTTCTATAAATACCCAATTTCTGTATTCTTTTGCTTTACTATTTATATGTTTAAATGCAAGTTCTCTCTCTCCTTTATTCCAAGGAACTGACTTTTGCTATGTTCCAATACTATTTTCATGTCACTGTTCTCCACAGGATTACTTAGAGAAGACAGGAACTTCCAACAAAAATCATGCCACTTGGGAAAAGAAATGGTGGGAGGACAAAGAAGCACAGGACATTCAAATCCCTTTCTTTAATCAACATATATCAGGGTAGGTAGTGGCTTCTAGGTGGCTGCAATGTGATGGAGTGTTTTTTTTTCCCTGATTAGCCAAAATGGCAGCATTATGCTCATTTTGCTAATTATCTTTGATGTCTGGTCAAATAGATTCTATTACCTACAAATTAGAGGTTGAAAAGGGCTTTAGTTTCTTTTTTGAGAGAATTACAGATATGGCGAAGAGATTCCAAAGGGGATAACTCCAGGAATAACCACAGTTTATGTTGCATTATTGTTGTTTAATGCCTAGATCTTGATTTTGGGCATAGCCTTGAAGATAGGGTGTGCAAAGTGAGCTTTCTAGTAGTAGGCATAGGGAATACTGTGATTCAAATTGGCTTATTCCTGAGGTACAGTGATTTACTCCTGGCCTATGCTATCTGTAAATCATCACCCACCTTGCATCGGCTTGGTTACTCTGACTAGTTAGAAGTATGAGGCAGAGCTGCCCTTTCTCCCACCCATTCTCATTTTCTTCCTGCCCTGAAGCTTTTTAGTGAGACACTCTTGTTTGGGTGCATAGCCTGAGTTAAAATCCTGGCCTATATTAATAATGAAGGACAACTGCCAGACAAGGATACCTTTGGACCTTTTTCAACGCTATGCTGTACATAAAGTTACCTGGGGTTTTGTCTTGCTCAGCAACACTAACTACAAACAATGAAAAAGCGCATTTTAAAAAATCCTTAAGTAATAATTGAGAGAAAGGTCAAGGGAGAGAGAATTTCCCCTCCACCTTGTAGTAAACACATTTATCCAGAAGGTTGGACCTGTGGATTCCAGTCTTACTTCCAATGAACATTTCATTACAGATACAATATAGTACATCATCATCCATAGAGAATGAGGATTGTCTCACTGATAAAATACCACCTAATGACATGAGTGGTACCATGGATGGATGGTGACTAATAGGAATTCCAGTCATGTCATTTAGATGACATAGGTGCTTTAACCACTAAACAAATGGGGAACTCCTGCCCCTTTTATAACCATGCCTTTTCATTTCCTTTCTTTTAACTAATACCTAAGCCTTTTCTTTTGGACTGAATTACATTTTCACTTAAATGTTAAAACCATTTTTGTGGGGGAGGAAGGGGGAGATGTTTGGCAAGTGTATTATTTCAATTAATTATATGAAAAATAGAGAAATGTAATCTTTAGAATGAATGAAGCATAAAAGGCCAGACAAAGTTTAACAAAACTATTTATTACATAATGCAGTCTACTGGACAGTGACTGAACAACTTATAGAGAATGGAAATCTGTGAAGCATTTGGAAAGTGCCCAAGAGAAACAAGAGAGCAACTACCCTTCAATTAACCCTGAAACAAGTTGATATCATGTGAGATCACTGTGTGGTATCCCAGAGTTGCTAACCAGTTATTTGGACCAGCTATATAAACAGGTTTGCATCTCTCCCAGGATTGCAAAGGAGATGAAGTGAAGCAATTTCATTTCAAAGATTTTATTTCTCTTTGGACTCTTTAATGTGGATAACTGAAAATTATCTTGCTGAGTCTACTTTCGTTCTAAGGAGATCTCAAATAACCATATTTTACATTTTAATTAAATATTTTAATGCATATTTCTAATTCATAAACTGTAAACTGTAAACTGCCATAAGAAGAAAATTAGGCAGTATTAGTAATAAACTGTTCTTGCTCTTCTAAATGAATCCCTTTTATTACAAAACATTCAAATAATGAATATTTGTAAATTGTCTTAATATGGACCATCAAACAACTGTGGTGAAGACACACCGGTTTCTGTGATAAAGACCACATTAGGAAGTGATACAGCTAGCATTATGTCTGGCCCCTTGTGTTTCCTCTACCCAGACAAACAGGTCACCATTGACAGGTGGATCAACCTGAAGTGGTCTTTGCTGCAAGGTTCAAGTTCAACCTTCTGAATTCATAAAAAAACCTCTTTAGTTGTCTTTCCACAAAAGAACTGAACAATGTTTAGGGAAGGCTCAGGTCCATCAATGCTTTTAGGTAGAGAAGCACAAACTTCATAAACAAATTTAAGGTCTGTGGTAGCATGTTTTCTTTTACATTTGGACAGCACCTACCAAAACTGAAGCCTGAGACAGGTATCAAAGCAATTCAGATAAGAAATAGGAAAGCAAAACGTTGTCAAGCATGAACATGTGGCATACAGCTGGCCTCTTGCAGCTGATGAGGGCAAGTTGCGTGCATGCAGTAGGTTTAAAACTCACAAATGATTAACCGAGTCTCTTTACAGCTTTTGTCATTCCACTTGCCATGTGCAAAGACTTCCACACAATCCTCAATGCCTTTATCATTATTTGGTTCTCCAGGTAGCCAGTTGGAGTAAGTAATGGCTTGTCCATTTAGGTACTGGAACTGCCTCTCTGTCTGTATATCATTTATCCCAAGAAATGCTGCTTTATTGTGCATAGCAACAATTTGTTGGATGGCAGCATTTTCTGCTGAATTCCGAGGGGAAGCAAGCTGGCCCCCAGCTTGAGAACACCTTTGTTTCAGATTTTCAAAATTGCTTTCATAGCCATTGGTCATGAATACCTTTTCACCCACAATTCTGCCATTTGGGAACATTATAACTAGAAAACAAGGAGATAAATCAGTGGTAGGCATCTAGCTAAGAATAACCCTGTAAAATTAAGATAGACCAGATAGTAAAAATAAATAAAACACCACTGACTTCCATCAAAGATATTTGAAAAGACTGGCTAAGGCTTTGGAATTCCCACTAGACAACTCAGCATGAAGTAGGTCTGATCTTTTTTTCTTTAGTGTGCTGCAAAGCGTATCTCTATCCAGATTAGGGACAGCAGGACTTGCTGCATAACATAACCTTAACACCATCCTCTCTCTGATTTACACTCTGAATCTTCATATCACATGAATGTCAAGGGTAAGATTCTATTCCGCACCTCTGAGGATATTTGTGAAAGAAAACACACTGCACTGAAAAAAGAATGTAAGTCCATGTGGTCAGTGCATAAAAACTGCCATGCATACTGCTGTCCCTATTGCTTCAGAAGAGAGGATAAAGGCATTGAAAATGTTATACAGCAATAATTTAGCAAAGCTGAAATTACATTAACATTCATCAGGCCCCTGTAAGTGCTCTGAGAGAGTTATGCATGCACTTGTAGATGCATAGCCTGAGACATGCATCTAAATCAAGCCTAAAGTAAGTCAGAGATCTCAAACTGCTTTAATTTGCATTGGACGGTGTTTCCACATTTGGTTTTCATTTATTAAAGGTAGCATCTTGATTTATCTTGCTGTTATAGAGTAGCATTGCCACAAAACAAGACAATACAACATAACATTCCAGGCAAACACGTCTGGATGCTATCACGCACATCCTAAAGAGCTTCCCCTAATTCCCACCCATAAAATAGATCAACCCTGGTTCATATAATTAGCAAAGGAATCCTATTTAAGGCATGATTAGTACAGGATTCTTGCTGGTGGAGTTAGTTATCTTCATGTTATTCCTGGTCTACAAATGAAAAGTGCACCCATTTAATTTTATTTTTAAATCACTTTGTTTATATCAGGGAAAGCGACATATGGGCACTGTTTATTTGATTTAAATCTGGTTGACATGCATTGATCTAAATGTGGTTCCTTGGTGACTTATGATAACCTAGTATCAGCCAAGGTTAAATTGATTTGAGAGTATTCACATGGGACACTGGAGCTTTCACCAGTTTCACAATGATATTTAAAGCAGTGCAACTTCTCTTACCTGCTCATGCCCTGATCTTGTGAGTACTTATTTTGAGGAGCCTCTGAGATACTGAGTATACAGCTGGACTCAGTGGGAAATAAGAATACTTAGCATCATTCCTCAGGAGTAATTAATCCTTTTTTGCGATCAGGCCTTTATTATGTAAACTATTTGGGGTAGAGAAAATACTTTGCCCCATGCTTTACAGCATCACCTATATCTGAAGTATATATAATTCATTCATTATAAAAATGAATCTAATCACTGTCTAATCATTATAAGACTCTAATGCATCAAACTAGAATTCAGAACACTTAAACTGATCAGAGATAGAGGATTATTGAAGAATAGGTTGCTGCTACAGAATTGTTTACCTTTCTTGTATTTGGAGAAGCTGTTTTGCAGTGTGTCCAGCTTCCTTTCCAAAGTGCGCACTTGTGTTTTTAAGAGGTTGATTTCTGGAAAAAAAATGGCATTATCCTCACTAATACCTTAAAGAATAATATGGACAAAGAACAGCAGACTTACATGGTTTGGTTTGCATGGGAATGTACGTTCTATAAACTAGAGCTGTGCAAAATTTGCCAGCTGTTTTGTTTTGATGCTGTTTCAACTTGTTTCAAGCTCAAAACAGCAAAATTGAAATGAAATGGGCTTCAAAACAACCTTGAAATTAAATGAGGGCAGTCGAAACGTTTAAAAAATTTTGAAACATTTCAAGTTTTGAAGCTGAAGCTGGGCTTGCCTGCAGGGAGACAGAAAGTAAGGAGAGGGAGGGGGACAAGGGGGGGAAGAACTGTTCTGATATTGACTATGTAGTTAGCCAGTGACTGTGTTATTTAGAGGCCCCAGCACCAGTGAGGGTGTGCCTTAACACACACACACACACACACAAAGTCACACGTCACGAGTCTTGCTTGTCAGCAGCCTGAGGTGCAGTTTCCTAGAAACCCCTACACCTATCTCCTTGAAAGCTGGCAGGCTTTGTGGTCACAGCAGGGGCTACCATTTCTGCAATTTTCATCCTGGTGTGCCTTAATATACACAACATGAGTTTTGTTTTCAAGAATTTGAGGTGCAGTTTCCCAGGAATCCCTGCACCTATCTCTTTGAAACCTGGTAGGCTTCATGCTTTCAGAAGGAGCTACCATCCCTGCAAGTTTCATCCATATCGGGCAAGAAATGACAAAATTATAGTCAGTTTCATGTTTTCCCATTATAGCCTATGGGCAAAACGTCGAAACAACAAAACAGTTTTGACAAAACGAAATGGAACAGCAGTTTCAAAATGAAATGAAACTTAAAAGGAGACACTGGCCTGTTGAAATTGTGAAAAAGAAGTTGAAATGAAATGGTGGTGTTTCACACAGCCCTACTATAAACTAGTATCTCCTCTGAGTGTCTTGATTATGATCTAAAACTGGACTGATCAGCTTTGTTATGTGATAAAAATTGTGCGGGATATTCAGCTGTGCCTGTTCATACCCTGAAGAAAGACTTACATCAGTTCTATTTACTCTACCTTTTAGGGAAAATTCTAGGATAAGTAACATTACACTACACATATGTGGTACTCATGAACTTAAGTTTCTATGACTGCATTTGTGTAGTGCCCATTTCCATCCACTTTATATAATGCTAATCATCTCTTCCTCCTTCCTCGCTCTGACATAAATTCCAGAAAGACACAAAAGCATGTGGCAGAACACCTTAACCCTGGGCAGTCCATCTTGGACCTTAGAGTAGTGATTTCTTAAAGAACAAAACTTTAGAAGCCAACTTGAACATTAAGTTGTGTAACAAACCATCATTCACAGACTGCATTGTGTTAAGTATGGTCTCAACAGACTCTGAATGTTCATTACTTGGGCTATCCCTCAATGGTACATCATTTTTTTAAATTCCTTTTGATCTCTTCAACCAACCCTTGCTACTCCTGGCAGTGCCCCCCCCACTCCCAGTCCCCACCCCCACACCATCCACCGCCTGACTCTCTGTATTGAACTTACTGAATTCCTTTTTATTTATTATCTATACTTTCTGCAAGTCCATTCATAGCATCTGATGAAGTAGGCAGTCGCCTATGAAAATGTATGCCTTTCCAAATAAGTTAGTCTTTCAGGTGCCACCCTGCCCTAGCTTATGCCATAATTGATCTGTTACTGACTGAGGTATGTCCCATTTTTTATTCCGTAACAGGGTAAGGATAAAAAACTTGCCTAATGGGAGGAGGTTAAGTTTGAAGTTTAGACTTGAGGGTCATTGCTAAAGTGTACCTAGTGGGTTGGTTCACAAGTGGTTGAAGACTTGACATCCTGATTTGTTTTTATATATTGTATGATGATGTATCCTACTATGTAGATATACAGGGCTAAAGCTATGTGCATCAGAGACATATACATATATTCACTTACACTGTATTAAACAATCTGTATACCGAGATGATAAAAGTATCTTGATTCAAACAATGCTCTTGGACTATTTTCCTATTATCAGCTTAGCACATGCAAACTAAAACCTGAGTAGTTGTTTGAGTTAAAAGGGTAGTATAAGATAGGTGGTTCAAAATTGGGTGAAGTGGGCAAAATGTCTCATCATTTGTTCCAAATTAAGATAGCTCTTGTTGCATTGCTGGGATGAAAATACTCCATAGCAATGTATATTTATAAATGTACTGGATCAGTGTGTTGGATCTCTTATTAAAATTTCACTTTAAAAATGCCATAGAACTTAACAAAGATGGCAATATAATTTTTTTAATGCTTCCAATAAAATATGTTTTGCTACTATTTTTACCATTTTAAGCAGTTATACATATGGCAGCTATTCTCAGGTAAACTAAATATACATTGAAAGGAAAAAAATCGCATTGTACAATTTCTTGGGGGGGGGGGGGGGG